GTGACCAATGCTGACTTAGGTGTTTAATGCTTAAATTTATTAATATGGCTCCATCTTTGGAGATTATTATAGGCACTATGTGTATTAATTGTGTATACCAATTAGTATAAAATATTTAATATAAATATTATATCAAAAACTTTCAAATATACTCTCAATCAATAGATCATAGTTCAAGAAATTTGAATTCTAAATTTTTATAAGGTCAAAATTATCTTAATTTTTTTATTAGACTATCATATTTCTCATGATAAATATCATTAATTATAATGATTGATTATGTTTTAATTATAATTCCACTTATTTTATTTGATTTAATGAATATTTATCAATTATTAAAGATGAAATGTCTTCAGTCACTTACAAGTTACAATGAGGTTGATTTTTTTTACTAACTTATATTTTATTTATTGATGTATCTAAATTTGTAGTTATATCTATACTTGCGAAAAATTCTAATTTTTTTTAATAATTAATAATTACTACTTGTATTTTATTCATAATCATGAAAAATTATTGCTTTTATGTAGTTAATACATATTTATATTGCTGATAAATACATACACATTACATATATGGCTAAACTAATTAATTAGTTTAAATTTCAAATTATTGTCACGTTATCTGCAGAAGTAATCATCCTTTCGATACATTGTTAAAGATGAAATACTTGGCCTCTTATGATAGGCAAATTATTTCTTACGGTGTCCGGATTCGTCTGGACACCAATCCAGACGTGTCACGTTAGCAAAATATATCGTGACCCACTGTATTTGAGTGACGTGGCGCATCTGAATTGATTGTCCGGATGTCAGGTGACCAGACGCAATAATTCGCCCTTATGATATTGATTGTTTCAGTTTTTCATGGTTAAAATTAATTTAAAAGCCTTTTTTACCGCTAAACATTACTAAAACTCTCTTCATAGTAGTGCTAAATAGTAAATACTTTTTTTAAAATAAATACTCCTTCAATTCCTACGTCCAATATGCTCAAATTAGATCCTAGAATTGAGAGAGATTATTACGTGCGGAGTCCGGACCCATAGAACTCGTCGGTTTTGTGACAGTGAATAATAAAAGCGCGGCAATGAACAGTAAAAATGCAGTGGTTGACATTAACTATACTTTTATTGTTCTCAATCACAAAACCGAATGGTTCTCTGTATTCGAACTCCACACATAATAATCTTTCTAGAATTGGGGATAGGGGAACTCTTAATACATACCATTTCAAATCTTTGTGTACTTAGTTGATTAAGGCTTTCATTAGAATTCCCCTTTAATTTAAATTTAATTATTGCACATATACCATCAAGTAACAAAATTTCACCGCTAATTCAAACTTTTTAGAAGATCAACAACTAAATTCTGTTAAATTTTTCATTAATATATATTCAATATCTTACATTAAAAATTTCACCAATTTTTGTAATTGAAAACCTGTCCTACAATCATAAATTTTTGCTCTTAAGAAAAAACTTTATTGAGAATTCATTGTATTAAGAAGACTTGGTTAATTAGAAAATATTAAAAATGTCATTTTTTACTATATTTAAAGGAAAATTTGACTCTTAATATGAGACAATAGAGAAAAAATACTTATGTAGACAGCTCAGTTGCAGAACTAATCTCTCTTTTAAAGATGAATAAAATATTATTGTAAATTGTATAATCTTATATATGAAATAGAAAAAAAAATTCTTAGAATTTAGACAACTACAATTATTGAAGATGAACAAAATAATGAAAATATTTATTTATTTTTTAAATTAAAATGAGCAAAACCCTTCCTGCTTTCACTCATGAGCCGATCCCATTTAATGTAATAAAAGCTTAGTATTGATGTTGTTGAAGAAATTATTTTGTGCGGAGTTCGGACAACAAGAACAATCCAGACTGTGAGTGTATACACTGTGCATAAATATGTATATATTGTATATACTAATATGCCCAAATGATTCTTGTTGTGTCCTGGAATATTCGCGGTTGTAGAGAAATATATAGTTTAACGTCTTATTATTGTACGAAGATCCAGCACACAATTAGATAAGTGAGAGGGTATATCATTCATAAGAGACACAAGAGTTTTTACGTGGAAACCCCTGAAAAGGGGGAAAAACCATGGGGCCTGGCCCAGTTTGAATGAATCCACTAGTATTTGCAGTCGATTACAAATGAGACCCTTTCTTGGAAGAAGGCCTTAGCTTGATGTCACAAATGTACATCATATAGAGCACATTACATGGTGGGAGTTACAATAATCAACATAGATATTTTTGTTTGGTTTGAATGGCCATAGTCGGCATGATACAGGGGACTGAGAGACTGTTGTTGGCAGAAGACCGGGGTCAGAAAAATCGTTGTCTAGTGATGGAGATCGGATGGACCATAGTAGGTGACGGAGGTCAGAAGGATCGTAGTCAGCAGGAGACCGGGGTCAGAAGGACCGTTGTCTGTTGATGGAGGTCGGAAGGACCATAGTATGTGACGGAGGTCAGAAGGACCGTAGTCGGCAGGAGACCGAGGTCAGAAGGACCGTTGTCTGTTGATGGTGGTCGGAAGGACCATAGTAGGCGAAGGAGGTCATAAGGGCCGTAGTTGGCATGAGAGTGGGGTCAGAAAGACTGTTGTCTGTTGGTGGAGGGCAGAAGAACCATAGTATGCGATGGAGGTCATAAGGACCGTAGTCGGCAAGAGATTGGGTCAGAAAGACCATTGTAGTAGGGCGGTACTCTTGTAGAACTCTAGGTGTCAAGTGGTGGCCCATCAGAAGTCCGGGCCTCGAGTGGTGGTTAGGTAGAAGTCCGGGCCTCAGGTGGTGGTCCGGCAGAAGTCCGGGCTACAAGTGGCGGCCTAGTGGAGCACAAGGCCTCAAGTGGTGGTCCGGCGGAGCAACGACGTCAGGCGGTGGCCCGGCAGAGGTGAGGGCCTCAAGTGGTGGTCCGGCAGAGAAACGGTGTTGGGCAGAGGTCTGGAGGAAGTGAGGGCCTCAAGTGGTGGTCTGGCGGAGCAACGAAATCAGACGGTGGTCCGACGAAGGTCTGACGAAACTCCAACGGTGGTCAAGGAGGAGCTTCCTCCTTCTCTTCTCCTCTTCTCTTCTTGCTTCCCTCCTGCTTCGGTCCCCTTTCAAGAGAAATGAGGGCCTATTTATAGATTTCTGGAGTAGCATGACATGTAAATAGGTGAGAGATCAAGGGTAAATGGGGAGTGGTCGGATGGACGGCCGATATTGAATCCCTTGATCATGCACCGTTCGTCAGACATTTGAAGGCTTTATTGATGTCGGAATTCGGCAATCTTGGGCTTGTTGGATTCATCTCGTTGAGATGCTCGATTCGAATATAAGCTCGTCAAATTCGGAGACCGTTTGGTAACACAAATTGTGATTTGAACCTTCCAACAAAGCTTTAAGTCCTTGATTTGTACTCATTTGGGCTCGGATCAAGTTGAATTTGGTGTCGTTGGGTTCGTATTTCTGAGACGCTCAATTTGACTATAAATTTGCTAAAATCAGAGTTCAGGTGATCCTGAATTTAATTTTTGAAGTTTCCAGCTAGATTTTGTATCGAGATTTGTGCCCGATCAAGATAATTTTTAGAGGACATATCAATTCTTCCCGTTCGAACTCCACCTAAAATAGTTTCCCTTGTTGTTGAGATATAGTTGTCAAGATTCACATCGAACAAAAATAGAAATTATTAGGTTGGTACCAATAAGATGTGCTTTAATACGACATATTGGAGAGAGAATATTAAAATCTCGAAACAATTAAATAGTGTGGGAGCCATAAGGACTATCATCCATAGGCAATTGTGAAAGGTTTGGTTGGTATGACAGTATGACCCTTACCCTACAGGAGTAATTGTCGCTGTTGCTTAGAATGTAGCCAATACCCAAGGGGCAAGAAGCCTGCGCCGGTGTAATAAATAAATACATAAATTTATTGGACCTACTTGTCAGATATGACGCCTAAATTTCAACATGGTCAAGGTCGATCAACCTTCAATATTTGTGAGTGTTAGTTTCCGAATAAATTATGACCTAATTCTAATCTGAATAATAAAATAAAAATAAATAAATTGTCAAAATCAGTTCCAACTAATTTATCCGCCATCTATTTAATAATATTAAAATTTGATTTTAAAAAATAAAATATATTAAATATTAATTAATTTATATTATTTATTAGTTTATCAACATGTATTTTGATTAACATATAATTAAATTATATAAGGCAAAATTTTAAGGAGTTAAATTAAATATTAATTAACTAAAAGAAGTGTGATTAAAAAAAATGAATAAACTTATTTTGCATTTTTTAAAAAATTTTAAATGATTTTATGTTTTTATTATTCTTTTTAAAAAGCTAAAAAAATTGTATTTTCTTAATAAAATGAAAAAGAAATTTATATTTTCTAGGGAAAATGTAATTCTGTTTCCCTTTCTTTTTTTAAAAAAAGTTAATTTGTTTTAGAGTTTCCTTAAGAAAAAGTGAAATAAACCCTTGTTTTTTAAAAAATTTCAAAGTTATATTTGCTACATATTTGATAAATATGAAATATATAGAAAAATTTTAAAAATTGATTATAATAAAGTGTGAGATATTTATCAAATGTTCAATAAATTATAATTTTGAAAAAAAAAAACACCATTCTATTTCACATTTTCTTAAGAAATCATAAAGCTTATTCTTATTTTCTTGAGGAAACATAGAATAGATTTGCGTTTTCAAAAAAAAAAAAATTTATTTACATATTCTTAAAATTTTGATAAAAATGTAAAATGGTTTTATATTTTTGTTTTTTTTTAATTTAAATCATATTTTTATTTAATTAAGCTTCAATTAAACACTTTTTTAATTAACCTATATATAATAGTGGAAAAGCTAAATTTATATTCTGATGTGATAATGACTAAAAAAGAAAAAATAAAAATATAAAAGGGGAATCTCTTAAGCGGGATGCTTGAAGACTTGAAGTGGAGCAGTGGAGTGTGTTCTACTTCGCCTATTGTGATCATTTCGAGGTAACAGAGGAAAAAAAAAAAAAAATCTTTATCCTTTATTCAAATTAAAGAAGGATAAAGGTATAAATCATTTAATGGCTTGCCTTAGCGGCCATGGCTTCTTCATCATGCACGTCTTCTCTCCCTGTGCTGCAGCTGCTGCTCGAGGTGCACAGTTCGTGCATTCCGGTCCAGTCTCGAAGAACATTTCTTGTTTACTTTGATTTGAAAACATCTCTTATGCAAGATATCTTGAAAATTTTCTTTTAATTTTGAGAGATCCGCTGGTTATAAAGGATTCAGAAGTAAAGATGAGGTCAACAGGGCTTCAGTTTCTTGTCCTCTTGGCCATCCATGGTGGCGTTTTTTTCTTTCCCTCCGAATCCTTGCTACATGAAGAGGGTACTTTTCCGTTCTACTTATAAATCTCAGGATCTGATTGTTTTTGCAAATTTGTGGTTGAAGTTGGCATTTGGAATTTTATTTTGAGTGTGCTTTTCATGACATTTGGGTAGTTTCTGCGCTTATGGCTTTGAAGAGAGATATATTAGAAGACCCACTTGCTGTTCTTTCCGATTGGAATACACTTGCTGGAGAACCCTGCAGTTGGTTTGGTGTGGTTTGTTCTAAGGCTCAGAATCATGTGGTTACTTTGTAAGCAATGCCCAGAGTTTGCCTTTGTTTTCTTGCAGATCTATATATTAGATGAATTGATTTATGTATTGGAAAATTTTTCGAGGGGATTTGATGTGATTATGTTTTGGCATCATAAGGTTGTTTTTAGACTACTATGGCGTGTTTTATTAAGATATCATTTTTTTGCTTTTGTTGGTAGACCATTTAAGTATAATATTGGGATTTACACGTTGCAGAAATCTTTCAAGATCATCTCTAAAAGGATTTATTTCACCAGAACTTGCACTGTTGAGCTCCTTACAAGAAATGTATGCGGTACATTTTCTTCAAAATTTAACATTTTAAAAGTATCTATATTGTGAAATTGGGAACTGATAGACTGCTGACGCTTATTTTGCAGAATTTTGAATAATAATCTGTTTTTTGGCACGATACCTAAACAAATTGGTATGTTGAAGAACCTTGCAGTGTTGGATTTGAGTGTGAACCGCCTTTCCGGTCCTATTCCTACTGAGCTAGGAAACTTGACTAGCATCACAAAAATGTAGAAACAAATGTTTCGTTAACTTACTATTGAACTGATTCTTGCTTGCCAAATTTTATTTTGTGATTTTGTTTGTTGATCTATCCACAGAAACCTCCATTACAATGGTCTAACAGGCTATATTCCTGCTGAGTTTGGTAAACTGTTGAATCTTGTTGAGCTGCGGCTGGATAGAAACCGACTAATTGGACCAATACCAGGAGATATTAGCTCAGTTTGCACCTGCCGATTGCATAACTTGTAACAGCTTCTCTCCTCACCATCAAACCTGCATTACTTACTTCAATACATCTATTTATGTAGAAAAAAAAATGCAAATTTTGGGTTTTTGTTTTGAAAATATATGATTAAATGCAATAGGATTTTCTTTTGTTTAGGTCGATGCTCCACAATAATGGCAATGACACACATTTTTGCCATTTTCCACGGTTAAAGATTGGGGATTTTTCATACAACTTTTTGGTTGGAAATATACCATCATGTTTAAAGTATCTTCCAAGGTACTGTGCCTCTATGAAAATTTGATTTGGAAATTCTTTACAATTTTTTTCTTGGTAGAATGTGATTATTTTTGGAACATATGCTCGCAGGTCCAGCTTTCAGGGAAATTGCTTGCAAGATGAATATACTCTCTTACAACGAACTCCTCAAATATGTAGCATTTCTTACCCTTCCTTTAATGCATCATATGGGAACTATTTATTATCACAAGAGTTTTATGTTTTTACTGGTTTACTTTTGCAAACCTATGAATTTGAATATTAAAAGATTCTAAGAACTCAGTGCAGTTGTGTGAAAGATCTTCAAACTTTAGAAAATGTCTTCTCATTTTCCAGTAATGATACTTGTACAAGCAATGCTGAGATTGCAAAATTATAAAATGTGAACTTATTTTACTTTTTAGGCATAATTTGCGTTCTTTTCAGTTTCAGGTATAATCCGCATCCTTTTTTAGCTTTTAACTTTGAAGATGATATATTTTGCTGTATGCATCTTTTGCTTGGACATACTAGATGCATTTGATGGGTTATTTACTTTGCTTTACTCGAGAAATGAATATTCCTTCTTGTAGCGTCCTGGAGTATTTGCGGCGGTAGAGAAATATATAGTTTAATGTCTTAGCGTTGTACGAAGATCCAGCACACAAGTAGATAAGAGAGAGGGTTTAACGTTCATAAGAGATACTAGAGTTTTTTATGTGGAAACCCCTAAAATGGGGAAAAAACCATGGGGCCTAGCCCAATTTGAAAGAATCCACTAGTATTTGCAGTTGATTATAAATGAGTCCCTTCTTAGGGAGAAGACCTTGGTTTGATGGTACAAATGTACATCATATAGAGCGCATTACATGTTGGGAGTTACAATAATCAACATAGACATGTTTTTTTGGTTGAAAGGGTCATAGTCGGCACGAGACAAGGTCTGAAAGACCGTAGTAGGTAGGAAATCGGGGTCAGAAAGACTGTTGCCTAGTGATGGAGGTCGGAATGACCATATTAGGCGACGGAGGTCGAAAGGACCGTAGTCGACAGGAGACCAGTGTCTGAAAGTCCGTTGTCTGGTGATTGAGATCGGAAGGACCATAGTAGGCGACGGAGGTAAGAAGGACTGTTGTCGGCAGGAGACATGGGTCCGAAAGACCGTAGTAGAAGGACGGTATTCGGGAGAACTCTAGGCATCAGGTGATGACTTAACAGATGTCCGGGCCTCAGGTGATGGTCCAGCAGAAGTCCGGGCCTCAGGTGGTGGTCTGGCAAAAAATCGGGCCTCAAGTGGTGGTCTGAAGGAGCTCAGGGCCTCAGGTGGTGGTCTGGCAGAAGTCCAGGCGTCAAGTGGTGATCCGGCGGAAGTCCGGGCCTCAAGTGGTGGTCCAGAGGAGCCCAGAGCCTCAGGTGGTGGTCTGACGGAGCAACGATGTCTGGCGGTGGTCCGATGGAGGTAAGGGCCTCAAGTGGTGGTCCGGCAGAACTCAAGGCCTCAGGTGGTGGTCCGGCGGAGCAACGACGTTAGACGATGGTCCGGCGGAGCAACGACGTCAGGCAATGGTCCGGCGGAGATAAGGGCCTCAAGTGGTGGTCTGACGGTCGTCGTTGCTCCGGCGGAGGTAAGGGCCTCAAGTGGTGGTCCGGTGGAGCTCAGGGCCTCAGGTGGTGGTCCAGCGGAGCAACAACATCAAGCAATGGTCCGGCGGAGGTGAGGGCCTCAAGTTGTGGTCAGGCGGAGCTCAGGGCCTCAGGTCGTGGTTCGGCGGAGCAATGACGTTAGGCAGTGGTCTGGCGGAGGTAAGGGCCTCAAGTGGTGGTCCGGCGGAACTCAGGGCCTCAGGTGGTGGTCCGGCGGAGCAAGGACGTCAGGCGGTGGTCCGGCGGTGGTAAGGGCCTCAAGTGGTGGTCCGACGGAAGTCCGGCGGTGGTCGAGGAGGAGCTTCT